TGAGTTTTAAGCCACTGGGTCCAGGACTCGAACTGCAGTCGACTACATGGGAGTCCAGCGACATAGCCATTACGCTAACTGCTGGTTCCCCTCCTGGGGTCATTTCTCACTTTACCTCACTATCTGTCTCGATTTCTCTCCAGCAAGCTCACTTAACCTGTGGCAAAAAATAAATACTAAAAAAAAAAGACAGGGACCAGCAGATGGCATAATGATTATGTCACTGGACTCTCACATAGTCGACTGTGGTTTGAGTCCTGCACTGGGTGTTTTAAACCTCATGTTGGGCGCGTGTACATGCGTGCCCAAAATTCTGAAAGGATAACAGAGGAGAAGGGATTACGGTGCAGCCATCTCCCCCTTGGGGATGATTTCTTGCTGTCTCTCTGGTGAGGACACACACACCATAGCAAAAATATCTCTTAAAAAAAAAAAAGAAGACAGACCCTGGACTCCAATGTAGTCGACCACGGTTTTAGTCCCAAACCTGGTGGCTTAAACTCATGCCAGGCGTGTGTGCGTGCATGCCCAAGACCTGGAGAGGAGACTGGAAAAGGGATTGCGGCGTGGCCATCCTCCCAGGGGATGATTTCTTGCTTTCTGACTCTCTGGCGAGTGCAAGTGCCCTATAGCAAAAACCTCTCCAAAAATAAATAAATAAATAAAAGAGAGTGCTGCATCTCACATGGTTGACCATGGTTCAAATTCTGGGCCCAGTGGGCTGAAAAACATTCCAGGTATTCCAGGTGTTGCGTGTGTACATGCATCAAATCCCAAAAGGATAGAGAAATGGAGAAGAAACTGTTTCTGTGGTGCTCTCTCCTACCTCTCCTGCTCTGGCAAGCATATACACCCTCTGGTAATGAAATAAATAAAAAAAGATTCTAGTCAACACTTCAGTATCTTTTTTTTTTTTTCAATTTGCATGGACTCGTCTAGGAGACAAAGGGAGAGGGAGAAACACTCCTAGTAGGGAATGGTCACACCATAATCCCTTTGCCTTCATTTCCTGTCAGAATTTGAAGAACACATGTATGCATACACACATCTGGTACATTTTTCAGCTGCAGCATCTGGGACTTCAACCAAAGTTAGCCATGTGGGATCCAGCTCCCAAAATGAACAGTCCACAGGTTGGCCTACTTTAGTGTCATCCTTTTTGTTTTGTTTTTTTTTTTTTTAAATAATTATTTTATTCTATTCAACTTTATTTATTTATTTATTTTTAATTAGACCAGGGAGGGACAGAGTATGAGAGCACATGTGTGCACACATATGAGAGGGAGAGAGAGAAAGCCACCAGGTCTGGGACTTGACCCACAGTCCACAATATGGAGTCCAGCGTCCTTAACCACCACACCACCTGCCAGCCCCCCTACTTTAGTGTCATCCTTAAAGCTCATTAACTTAAAGGGATAGCTAGACTAACAGGTTATTTAAATCTATTAATTATAGAAACCAGGTGGCTTGGGGGCTGGCAGATGGCATGGTGGTTAAGGGCACTGGACTCCCACATGGCCAACTACAGTTTGAATCCTGAACCTGGCTGTATGCTTTCTCACTTTCTCTCTCTCTCACTCTGTCCCTCTCTGATCAAATTAAAATAAATAAGTTAAATAAAATAACTATTTAAAAAAAAAGAAAGAAAACAAATTAGGTGATTTGCACCTGAGTGTTTACTCTAAACATTTTTCGTCTCAGCTTTATGTTTAAAAAAATTTTTGAGAGATTTTTGCCATAGGGCATGTGTGCTCACCAGAGAAACAGAGAGAAGCATAAGTCTCCTCTTGGGACCTTAGGCGGGCACACTCGCATATGTGCCCAGCGTAAGTTTTAAGTTGCCAGGCCCAGGACTCTAATTGTGGTGGACTACATGGGAGTCCAGTGACAAAAATCTGCTGGTCCCTGTTTGAAATTTTTAAAAATAAAATGTTGGGCAGGCTCCACAGCCTGGTGGTTAGAGCAGCCAGGTTCCATATGGTTGACATCGCAGTTCAATTTCCAGAACCAGGAAGCTTAAGAAACATGATGGGAACATGTACACGTGCCCAAAATCCAGAAAGGAGGGAGAAAAGGAGAAGGGACTGCAGCATAACCATCCCCCATGGAGGTGCTTTTTTTCCTCTCTCTCCCTCTTTGTCTCTCTCAGGCGAGTATATGTGTCTTCTAACACGAAACAGAAAACAAAATGTCAGAAAATAAATGCAGCCTCAGATTTCAGTCCCTAAGAGGAATGCGAGTCTGGCACGTGGCATAGTGGCATAGTGGACTCCCACATGGCCAATCGTGGTTTGAGTCCCAGACCTAGAGCTTGCTTTCTCACTTTCCCTCTCTCTCTCTGGTCAAATTAAAAAATAACAATGATAATTAAGTTAAATAAAATAATTAAAAAGAAAAGATGAGTGCTTTATCCTAGGACACTTCTGAGATTCAGTTTTGAAGAATAATGGCCTATGTATGGGATCAGTAACATTTTTCCTTAGATGTATTCATTTTAGCTTAGTTATATCTAGTAGAGTAGTAACAATATCAGTTTATATTTAGAGTAAGCTGATGTGTAAGGCTCTGTATAGCAACAGAGCTTCAACACCCACCCAACAACCCTGTAAATATTATTTATCACTATTTTATTGAAGAAAAAATGTAAGGAAATTAGCCAAGGTCATCTATCTTATATCAAAAGTCATAGATCAAGAATCTGAACCCAGGGACCAGCAGTTAGCGTAATGGCTATGTCACTGGACTCCCAAGTAGTTGACCGTGGTTCGAGTCGCAGACCTGGTGGCTTAAACTCATGCTGGGCGCGTGTGCGTACGTGCCCAAGATCCCAAGAAGAGAATGGAGAAGGGATTGCGGCGTGGCCATCCCCCCTGGGGGGTGATTTCTCTCTTTCTGTCTCTCTGTCTCTGTCTGTCTGGCGAGTGTATGCGCCCTATAGCAAAAAACTCTCTCTCTCAAAAAAAAAAAAAGTAATTTGAACCCAGGCAGTCCGGCTCCTAACCAATTCATTACATTGCCCCTATAAGCAGTATCATTAGAACATCAGTTCAGCTCCACAGAAGGGGAGGCTGTTTAGTTTACTGCTGTGTTTTCTGACTCCTAGGAAAGGGCTGCAGGTGGAAGAAAGAAAAGGGCCAAAATCATGGTGGTTCAAAGGGGAAATAAACCAGTTATCCACCTCCGCCAGAATTTTGAAGCCTGAAAAAAGGCACTTACTCAGAAAAGCCTTTCCACTTCAGCAGATATTCCACTTGCCCCTTAACCACACGCCTGTCTAGCACCTTTTCCACGACATACTCCTCCTCATCCTCTGAAGAAGAACTGTCAGCTGTCCGCTTGGTTTTCTTTCCCATGTCGCACACTGTTCCACCTGAAGGACTAAGGCCACCGGATTCCTGCAAAGGGGAAGATGAAATGGTTAGAATCCACATGAAGAGTTAAAAAGTCTCTTCTTGACAGGATAGAGTGGGTCTAACACATGTACATGTTGCCATGTACCCGTCTCTCGGTGTGGAATTACTCTGCAAATGAGTCCTAAGAATGTAACTGAAAAATGGGTCAGTCCAGGAGCCAGCAGGTAACATAGTGTTAAGGCACTTGACTCCCATGTGGCCAGCTGCAGTTTGTGTCCCAGACTCAGCAGCTTAAACTCATGTGAAGCCTGTGTGTGGGCAGGTGTGCCCGCCCAGAACACCAAGAGAGTAAAGGGGACGGGTGTGGCTATCTCCCTGGGGGGTGATTTCTTGCCTTCCCTCTCACTGTCTCTGGTGAACACACATGCCTTATAGCAAAAACCTAAAAATAAATAAATAAATTTTTTAAAAGGGTCAATCCTCACTTCCCCAACAACTTTAACTAAAGAGAACAAAATTATTAGATGGCACACTGTCTAACTTCTTTATTTTCAGATTCCAAAGACAAGTTCTATGGTATTGGCTACTTTTTTTTTCTTTTTTGAGAAGTTTTTGTTATAGGGTACATGAACTTGCCAGAAAGAGAGAAATCACCCCCCTCCCAGGGGGGATGGCCAAGCTGCAATTCCTTCTCCTCCTGGGATCTTGGACACGCATGCACAAACGCCGGGCATGAGTTTAAGCCACCAGGTCTGGCACTTGAACTGCAGTCAACTACATGGGAGTCCAGCAACAGAGCCATTACGCCAACTGCTGGTCCCGACATTGGCTCCTTTTGTAACTGTTTACAAGTTAAAAACTCAAAAGAGAAATGTGGAAAATATTCAGTTAAATGAACTAAGAATTAAAACTTTCCCCTCAAAGGCGAATAAGTTTTCTTCAAAAGAAAAACTATGAAAATACAGCTTTTCTCTGCTTTGAACATCTTGACTAGTCTCTGAGCAGCACAAAAAAGGTCTGCTGAAGCATGTTTCACCACATTTGCAGTGACGTGGTACATTTCCCTTAAACAAATTGAGCCTGTGCCTTCGGAGCATCCATCAGCTCAAAAGCAAGGCTGACATCTCAAACACACTAAGGCTCCCTTTTAGCAAGCTCTTCGGGGAGATGGGAGGGAGGCAAGAGAAAAAAAAATTAGTACTAAATTCAAAAGTAGTCACTGGCTCACCCAGCAATTCCCAAGGCTCTACTAACCCAAACAGTTAAGGAGATAACCTCTCCTCTTAACTGAGTTGACTCTGGGCCAAAGGAAAAGGAGGAAAAAGAAGTCTGGCCCCAGACTCTGTATCAACATAAAGCCTCCTCAAAACACAGAGGAACCATTCATAGGCCCAAGGAGAGGCAAAGCAAAGAAACACAAATGGAAATTGAGTTAAACTCAGAAATATGCACACTAGGGGATACTCAACCAAGAATCTAGCTTTTTAAATTCCCACATTGTTGTTACCATGATCATTTTTTAAAAATCCTCCTTAACGTGTTTAATGGTGCCTACCGCCTGGATTCTAGAGTAGCAGGAAATGTTTTCTTAGCTGAACTCCATTTTAATTTTGCTGTAGTCTTTAAAGATGTTTTTCGGCACTCTCTAAAATATTTCTATCCTGATCAGAAAACCACTCCCAAGAATAGGGAGGGCCACTACTAATCTCAGAATTATGTTCAAGCCAAGCAGCATGAAAAGCTGCATTTATCAATTCATTAGCAATATCTCAGAAATGACAAGAAAACATAGTTGGAAACCATATCTCCAGAACTTGCTAACAATACCTCTCTCTGCCCACCTAAAAAACTGCCTGTACCACTCCTGCACTATAATAAAACTAAGTTTTCATTAAAGGACTTTATTTGGAAGGGGGGTAGTAGGAGAATGTAGGCAGGTTTTAAAAATATTTTTCCATGAATTTAGAAGAGTCCTAAGCTTGAAAAAATATATCTGAATTGGCTTATTTAAAATAAAAACAGGCTCCGACTTCACCAGAGACGGGAAATGTCATATTCCTGGGAGAGTACCCCACCCCCACCCCCACTCACCTTGGAATTTCCGGGAGCTGAGCAGCTTAGGTCAGAGCGCCGGGGTTAAAACCGGCCCCATGTTAGAGGCATGCAGTTAAGCATTGTGGCTATGGCCTCCCCTGCCTCACCAGGAAAACAAGGATTTACATATGTGTTCTTCAGTTTGAGAGAGGGGAAAAGGGAAATCTCCCTTTATGCCTCCATGCAGAAGAGGAGCCCCAGAGGTAGAAGATGAATGGGGGTTCCCTCCTTTACCTACCGGATCGCCCCAGTTCTTTCTTTCCCTCTGGGCTAACAGGAGGGGCCTCCCTCCCAGGTCTGGGGCTTGGCGGGCTGGCAGCTCCCCCGCCCCCACCCAGCTGCCTGGGCGCCACTGCGCAGCTGTCCCAGTTCGTTGCCATGGCAACTGGCAGCAGTACTAGAGGAAGGGGGAGAAGCAAATGGAAAAGTTAAAAGGCTTAACTTTCCTTTTTGGAGAAGATGGGGTGGAGAAGTTGGAAGGTACCTCCCTTAACCTCAATGCTAAGGCTCTATCCAGAGCTCAAGGGAATTGGTTCTTAGGTTTTAAATCCAAAATTCATGTTTATTCCTCAAAGAACACTGTGAATTAATCAATAGCATTTTAAGATCCTCTAACAAGATTACATCTCGGGCTGGAAGGGGGTGGGGAAAGGCTAGGTCCTACTACATACAACAGGCTCAGTACAAACCACCCATGTCCTAATCCAGCCCACCAGAAGCACTTCAGACGAGGGATTCTCTACCATCTGTCACTGAGCAGTTAGTTAAAACTGCTTGGCGGGGGAGAGAGAGTGGGGTAAAGGAGAGGGGAAGTATTTTAAAGATACTATGCAACTTTTCTTCTTTGGGAGAATTCCTAGATACAGAAATAAAACCCAGAGACTTGAAGCACTACTAAAAACCCTTTCAACTGAAATTAAAGGTGAAAAAAAATTTAATCCCTAAATAGTTTAAGGAAAAAATAAAAGAGCCCTTTGGCACAGACATTACGGTTAAAACCACTCTCATTAGTTGTCCTTGTAATGTTGTTATGAAATGAACATTTCTTAATCATTAACCTCCTGATACATCATTAATAAACAACTCTATCAATAATCCATAATTCTTGAGAAAAAGACTAGGACAAAGAGAAGATTTTTAAGAGATTTAAAATTTCAAAATCCTTCCTTTCTCTTGGCTCTAAGGGTTCTAAAACCCTACTTTGCTTTATAGTCATAGGAACTTGGAGCCAGAGGTTTGCCATGGGGCTGGCAGTTGGCATGGTGGTTAAGGGTGCTGGGCTCCCACATGGCTGACCGCGGTTTGAGTCCTGGACCTGGCAGCTTGCTTTCTAACTACACCGCCCCCCCAACTCTGTCCCTCTCTGGTCAAATTGAAAAATAAATAAAGTTAAATTTAAAAAACTTTTTTAAAAAGTGAAGAACCTAAAAAATCAAGCCAAACCAAACCAAACAAAAATCAAAGAACCCGACTGTAAGAAAAAAAAGAAAGAAACAGAGAATGGTGACTATTTTGGCTGTCAAACAGAAAACACCTACAACACATGAGAGCAATGTAGAAATGTTTACCTACAGGGTATGTCCTCAAAGGTGAATGGACCGCATTAGGATACCTCTGAGTATAATCTGCTCTTTTCAATTTCTTACCTTTAACTTTATATAATTAAGGGGTATGAGAATAAGGCCCAAAAAATTAAAACAGGGTCGTGATTCTGTGATTAACTTGCCATGTGCGATATTGAGTAAATAAATTTTAGCTCTAACCCTGACATCACTAAAACAGGCCAAAAAAATTCCCTCTGCCTACGTAATAAGTAGGTAGTGAGTTTCTGTTGAAACTAAAGAGCTATTAAGTTCCCTAAAGAGAACTTCTGCAAAAATATCTTAGGGCCGAATCTAACAGCAGAAGAAAATATGCAACCTTCCAAATTCGTGAGCCAGTAAAGCACATCACATGCCCTAACCCCTTGCAGTTCAACATGTTAGTAGACACAAAAAAGGGAAAATAAGTATCATTAACTAAGTGGTTGAAAACAGACCCTTAGAGGACGGGATAAGAAAGGGTAAAATACTCCTAAAACTTGGAAAAGTATTGGAAATGGCAGAATGAAAAACTAAGTGACTGTGAAAGAATAAAGAACAGGAAAAACTGACAGCAACACTAACATTTTGATGAAATTTTTTAGAAAAAAAAAAAACGAATTCAAGGAAGAAGGGACAAAAGTAGACAGGTTCCCACTTCTCCCCCTAAAATATCATGAAATAAAGATTCAGATCAGTTCCCTTCTTCCCACGCTTAAAAACTGCCTAAAGAGCACATGGGCTGAGGTCCCTTTCTCTTTGGGAAATGGGTTTTGTAACAGCTGACAAATCGAATTGGGCCTAATGCCAGAAGTCAGGGTCCAGCCATAATATTCTTTAAAGAATGGCATGCAGTAGTCTCGTAAATCCCCTGGACAGTCACAGATCAGAAGCTGGCAAGGATGACGACATAGTTCTGATGGAATGTGTCTTATCTTAACCTTGAAGTTACAGATCTGCTCAGGAGCAGCAGTAAGAAATGAGAAATGCACAGAGACATCGGAGCAGACATAATTCTCTTTTAGACAGTGCGACCCACTGTATTAGGGTCAAATGAAACACAAAGCCAGACGGACAATTTAAAGGCTAGAGCCTGGACCAAATAAAGCATCAAGAGTGGTGGTTCACACTGAGCTTGGGAGGAGGGAGAGTTTCCATATGAGAAATGAGACAAGGCTGGCAGGATGATGGAGTGATTAAGGTAGAATCCCGAGACCATGACAGAGGAAGAGAGGATCAGCCTCTGTGCATAACCTTATCCTTGTGGAAATCTCCACGGGAAGGGGTGAGCGGCTTCTCAAGTTTCTAAAGAGTCTTTCAGGCGTAACAGCACTCAGCCTTCTCTTGAATACAGATAGAAACTCTCTG